AAGTGATAATCTCTTCCCCATTGAATAGATGGTCTTTTGTCAAAGATCAGCTGACCATAGGTGGATGGATCTATATCTGGGTTCTTGACTCTGTTCCACTGGTCTGTGTGTCTGTCATTGTCCCAATACTGGGCTGTTTTGAGTACTGTGGCTGTAGAGTAGGTTTTGAGATCAGGGAATATACAGTCTTTTTCTTTCAAGGAAACCTTGCTCCATGTGAAAATTGTGTATACCATCTCCTAGTCCATCATAAAACATTAAGGTTTATGTGATGTTTGTTGCTAAGACTCTTCTAAGAGCCATTTAGGACTGGAAGAAAACTTAAGGATGACATAGCTCAACTCTCTCACTTTATAGATGAGAAAACTAAGTTTGAATTGTCCCATTTGACTCTGCCTTTGAGTTGGCCACATCTTGTATGGCAAAATAATTAAAAAAAAAAAAAAAAAAAGAAGACAGCATTACAAAGGTAATAAAAACATTGTGAAGGAAAAGGAAATGTGGATGATAGAAAAAGATGAACATCCTTCCTCTGACAAATGGATAAGTGGAACAGAGGTTATGTCAGGTCAACCAGAAACAAACAAACAAAATAACATTAAGGACCATTTCTTCTACATTTTCAACAGCTTCCAGTTTGAGTCAAGTAACTATCACAGTGGGAGTGGGACAGTGTTATTTCCTTGAAAAAAAGAAAGGAAAGAATTGATCAACAGGGAGCCTGCCTCACTCCAAGTGCTCCTCTCTATATTTCCCCACCCTAACATAACCTTTCTACTGGCAGAGAAAGGTGGGAATGCTATTTCCCATTCCTTAGCTTCAATATATGTGTATATTAACAAAACCTTCCCTTGGGGCCAAAACTTAGGTTCTCCAAGCTATAGACAAATTACTGATTGCCATGGATTTGTAACATACTAAATATTCTGACTTGGGAGCATGTTTACATATAGCTGCACATTGAGTCTTCTCGGATAACTGGTCCTTGGATATCTACCCATTGATGTCAATGTTTAGAAATTCATGATATTTTATCCAAACTGAAAGTTGATCACCTTTAGGATATCTCTGCTACAACCCTCACACATCATTCCTTTTTCTATTCTATCAACAAATCCCTATGTTAACCTACTCTAAGAAGTATAGTAGAGAGGTGAAATTGCAGGAATAATGTTGTTGTTGTTATAAGCCATCAAGTCAGACCCAACTCATAGCAACCCCTCCTTGGATTTCTGAGGCAGTATGACTATGAAAGTAGATTGCCCAACCTTCCTTCTGAGGAGTTGTTGGTGGATTTGAACCACCAGCCTTCTGGTTAGTAGCCATGTGCCTTAGGCACTATGCTACCAAAGCTCCTAGCACCCTACATTTTTGGTGACCTTAACACATTTCAGAGAACTTCTAAATATAAGCTTTTATTTTATCCTCACAATAACAATAATCCTTTGAGGTAGTTACACTGGTGTTATTTTCCATTTCACAGGGGAAAAAAAGTGCTTTCATACAGCTAATAAGCAGAGAATTTGGGAAGGAGGACAGAATCATAGAATTGAAAGGTGCCTATACAGTTTTTCAATTTGAAAATAAAATAACTGAGATCTAGAGAGTTTAAGTCTAGGGTTAAGATGAGATCTCCAATGGCTAATACGCAGGCTGTAGCTTTTGTCACTGTAGTACTCTCCTTTTCAGCAATCCATACAGATTCATTAGAGCGGGTGATGATAACCATCAACTGATGTCAGGCAGCACATTTTAATTTGCTCCTCAATACTTGTCTTTTACCTATCTGGCAATTTTCCCTCCTCTCCCCTTCCTTCCCTGGTAACCATCAAAGAATGTTTTCTTCCATATGTAAACCTTTCCTTCATTTTTTACAATAGTGGACTAATACAGTATTTAATATCTAAATATTCAGACTCCAGATCATTTGAGAAATAACATAAAGTGATTCTTTAGGCTGAAAGTTTACTGATCTAAGTGACCCGGCACTATTAAAGTGAGGTGATAAAAAAATGTTTCCTCTATTCTTAGTGCTCCTACTCCTCCCTCAGTGCTCATTAATATCCACTTTTATTCTGTGCTTTTATTATCATGTTTTCCTTTGTCTATTAGCACTCACTGAACATCCTTTTCCCACCAGAGAAGCACCCTTCTTCAAGCTCCATGAGTATTCCTCTTTCTTCTCCTTGATTCTGTAATGCTGTTTATCTTCCATTTCTGATACTCTGTTACCATAGAAATAATGCTTTATGAGGAGCTTCCTCAATCATGAACTTCTAAAAAAGACCTTAAGAGGGTTGCATATTTTTCCAAGGGACATTTTGGGGTCAAGGAAGGGGTAGACCATCATACAAGCTAAAGGACCTCTTCTTCTCAGCAGCCTTGGATTTTTAACACGTAAAATTTACAGCAAGAGAATAAATATGAATCTCCTACAACAGAGACTCTCCCAATCTTCCCCTTTCAACTTGCTTTTTATTCTGAAAGCGACAAACTAGTACCTCTTTAATACTGGCTGAGAATCTCTGAACTTTATCATTGCACCTGTCTCCCATCACTCTCCTATCTTTCTTTGTCTATAATAGTCTTCACTCTTTTCCTTTTCTCTGCTCTGAGACCCTCTTTTTCATATCACTTGATCTTTTTCTGTGTGCTATTCTATCTGCAGTATAACAATAGCATAAACTAAAAGAAACAAACAAAAAAAATTTCCCAATGTTCTGTGTCCTGATTTCCTTCAAGGACCACATGAATAACTACTTTTCTGCAGAAACTCAGACTTAAGTTGACCCCCCACCCCCAATTTTCTCAGCAGCTACACTATTTATATATTTATTTTGTGGAACACTCATTTAACATCTCTCAAATGTGGCCTCATATTATTATGTATCTTTTGATGTCTCTGTCCTGTTTCTGCAACAAGATTATAAATTTCTCCTTGGAAGGCAGAAACATATGTCCTCAGCATCCGTGAAGGTATCCTATGCAGAGGCTGTTATGATCCCAATAAATGTTTAGTAATGATGCATACCTTTGGATTTGATTAAGTTTCTCTGGCTAGATAGAGCTCTCTTATTTTATGGTTGATTCGTAGTGTGAATGAATCTGTTTCAGTTTTGAAGCCCTAGGAGGGCAGGAGTGGCTTAAATCTATTTCAGTTTTGAAGCCCTAGGAGGGCAGGAGTGTAATGAACCTAACAATGCCCGATAGTATAAATATTTTGCCTGGAAACAACATTCCTACTTACTTTCTCCTTTTGATGTATAAAATTAATCATTCAGACAAGAACTTCAATTAAAAATATTATAAATCCTGAATAGTTGAACAAAAAGGAGCTCTGGTGGTGCAGTGGTTAAGCTCGCAGCTGCTAACTGAAAGGTTGGCACTTTGAACCCACCAGCTGCTTCATGGGAGGAAGATGCAGCAGTCTGCTTCTGTAAAAAAGTATAGCCTTGGAAACCTTATGGGACAGTTCTACTCTGTCTTATAGGGTTGCTATGAGGGGTCGTTATGAGTCGGGTCTGACTTGATGGCACATAACAACAACAACATGAGTTGCAATTAACTCAACAGCAACAGGTATTTTATAGTTGAGTCATTTCAGTACTGGCAGAATTATACTTTCCCTTCATATACCCGCTGCTATCAAGTTGATTCTGACACATAGTGCCTCCCATAGTCTCTTGTGATGCTAACAACGTTGTTGTTGTTGTTGTTGTTATGTGCCATCGAGTCAGACCCGACTCATAGCGACCCCTCCTTGGGTTTCCAAGGCAGTATCATTACGGAAGTAGATTGCCCTTGAAAATGTGTAATGATGATGATAAAATACTTTACTAAACTCACAAATGTGTATTTTCATATAGCTATATATTATGGTGTCATACATATTGCAAAATATATTTTTACCATTCTTGGTTTTCTTTGTGTAACATCTTATCTCTCTCTTGTCACAAGATTTCTATAATCATGTGAAGCTGTAGCTTAATAATGCTCAATACTGTTATCTTCAAATAAAAAGGATAACAACATTTGCATAATACATATAGCAATTATAACTAAAGCTTTCAGAAACCATTACTTATATCACTTAATTTACTACAACAAACCTATAAGGTGGGTATTACAATATTATTATGATATAGTACATGATACCATAAAATTTGAAATGAATTGTGATTATAATAAAAATTGTAATGGAACCTAGTATTGCTTGAAACTAATTTTTCCACATTTTCCAATTGTCAGATATAAGAACAGCACTAGGTAATATATCACTAACTAGTATCATATTTATACAAGATTTTAAATACCACAAAGAAATTGTATTAGTTACAATCTCTCCAAAGCATGTCTTCTAAAGCAGTTTATTAGATTTGGTTAAATTTATGTCTGATAAATGCATTCTGCTCAATGAGAATCTGATGCAATTATTTTTAAAAGACTTGAAATGAATGCTCAAGGATTATTGATCAGAATCACATCAACTAATGGTTTAATCAACAGGTCACCTACAAAAAGCAATGCGAATTCAATTGATATACTGCTGTGCTTACACTGCAAAATGATTTATTTCTTGCCCAGACATAATTATAAAACTGTAAGAGATGTTCAATCATACATTGGACTTTTCTAAGAATTTCCTTAGAACTTTTTTTTTTCAACATTAATTGAAATGTTCTAGAGAATAACCTACATGGAACCAAATTGAGTCTAGCCATGGTGCCTTTAAAACAAAGAGGCCTAATCTTGTTAGTATATATACCATAAATTACTGGCTCTGGGGACCTACAGTTACATTTTCATATGCTACAATCCATTTAGTAAATTTCCTTTGCCAATTCACTTAATAGCAGGAGGGCAGTCTCAAAAATTAATTGTTTAACAGGTCTAAAACATTAACAATTTATACCATTATACTATTATCTTCATTTTATTGGAGAAAACCCTTTGCAATTTTATGGCTCTTTGATTAATGCAGTATTTCTTTTTTAATGCAGGTAAATGGTTTAATTATGGAATCATCTTTCTCGTCTTGATTTTGGATCTTAATATGTGGAAGAACCAGATATTTTATAAACCTCATGAATATGGGCAATATATTGGCCCAGGGCAGAAGATTTATACAGTGAAAGACTCAGAAAGTTTAAAGGATTTGAACAGAACCAAGCTGTCTTGGGAATGGAGGTCCAATCACACTAACCCTGAGACTAATAAAACATATGCTGAGGGAGACCTTTTCTTACACAGCAGGTACATAGGGGCTAGCCTTGATGTCAAGTGTCTGGCCTTTGTTCCAAGCTTGATAGCTTTTGTGTGGTTTGGATTCTTCATCTGGTTCTTTGGACGATTTTTGAAAAATGAGCAAGGCATGGAGAATCAAGACAAAACTTACACTCGCATGAAAAGAAAATCCCCATCAGAACATAGCAAAGACATGGGAATCACTAGAGAAAACACCCAGGTCTCAGTGGAGGACCCGTTGAATGACCATGACCCTCCTTTGGTTTGCATCAGGTCTGATTTCAATGAGATTGTCTACAAGTCTTCCCACCTAACATCTGAAAACTTGAGCTCACACTTGAATGAATCCACCAGCACAACAGAGGCTGATCCAGACCCAACTAAAAGTACACTTACGAACTAGATTCACTTATTTGGAGATAGCACAAAAAGCAACCTTGAGTGTAACTTTAAAAAGTTAGTCTTTCCTTTTGTAAATGTAAGGTTTACGTAGTATTAGGTAAAGAAATATAAACAATGCCACAACGGTGCTCAACATGCTTTTTCTAGGACTCATTGTTTTCTATTTGTATTGTAATACACGTGCCTACTGTATATCTAACAGTCCTCTAGAAATTGCTTTTCACAATTGCACAAGCTATTTACTGACTTTACAGCATAGTAGAAGATTAGATGATTACCTGTATATCTGATGTTCAACCATAGTGGTGCCTTGAGACATTAAACCATTTTTAACTGTATCAGAAATGAAGTGTGGAATAGTTCTCTAACCTACTTCACATGTTTTGTTTTCTTTTGTTTTTTGTATACTATTACTTTGAGCTACACTTGATGTCAGAGCAGGAAACAGATACAGCCAAGATGTGACTTAAGAGGTATCTTTCAGTTTCTTATTCAGCCATGGAATTGGTGACTTTGACAGATGGACTGCAGAGAAGCATGATGATTACCTTATAATTTTTATTGGCTGTCTGCCAAATACAAATACAGATGCAAAATCCCATAATAGGAGAATGATAATCCAGCATGGGTCAGTACTTGTGAAATGTGACTTTTTCCAATCAGTAATTGCAATTAAGTGATAATACCTAATTAGGTTTTCCTAATTAAAGATAAATTGCTACTTGATTAAAAATCCTGCCCTTCACCTTTGGGAACAAAGGTTAAGAGGCACAGTTGGGTGAACTCTCAAATTTATTGGCATTTACACAAAGCCCTACAAAGAACAGGAACTGGAGCTTTAATCATGTGAAGGCTGCACAGCCCACTGTCTATAATATTTGTACATCTTTCTGTAAATATGATTCTGGACAATGAAAATGAAAAACATAGGCCAACCCTGAGTGAACGCCTCTAAAAATCATGCAGTGGAATCTCGTGAGGTAAAAAAAGATATGCATGGAAGAATTCTGTTTAGTGGCTTGTTACATGTGTACATTTTTGTTGTTTTTTTTTTTAAAGAATTAAACATCACACATTAATAAATGAGAATTATCTATCAGTGATTATATGGTGCAGTTTTTTGTTCATATTAGAAGGAATCAGTCATATCTTAGTTTAAGAACAGTCCATGTAAATTGGGTTTTTAAGCTTGATGCCATGTAAGAAATTGAACAGTCCCAAATTGCTTTTAATTTCATTCTATATACTGTGGTTATATGTACCATGGGGGCAGGGGCAGGGAGGAAGGGAGAATCACTTTGAAGGAAAAATTATTTTAGTGACATATATGGATATGTCTGTTTTGTCTTTATGATTTTTTAAAATCTCTCGTTTTGATCTACCTGGTTTTAAGCTTGCAGCATGCTGAATTTAGCATGCATAATATAACTATGCATTTATCTGTCACTTGAGAGCCAGCTTTAATAAACATCTTTCTACAACTGTTTATTAAGCATTTGGAACCATGTCCCTGCTGTTTCCTTTACCTTTAATAGACATGCCTGGTGCTACTTAGAATCATAAATATCAGTGACACTCAAAGTACAGCAGCCAAACTCATTATAGTGTTCCACTGACCATACCATCCAAAGAACACTTCCACTTACCATGTTACCCATTGGCCTTTACCAAATTTGCATAGCAAATAGTATCACCCAGGACCATATTTGTATTGCTTTATGATAGTCATCATCTTTTAGAAAGAAGAAGGAAATTGATTTAGAAAGTGGGTGCTTATTATCAGTATATATTCTATATAAAAATATTATTTGAAAATCTTTATGTGACCAGGAAAAAGTGTCTCAATGAGAGGATCTAATTAGCAGAAGTGTTATTGTTGTTGTTTTGTGCTGTCGAGTCGGACCCGACTCATAGCGACCACTCCTTTGGTTTCCGAGGCAGTATCACTACGAAGTAGATTGCCCAACCTTCCTTCCAAGGAGTGGCTGGTGGGTTTGAACCTCCAGCCTTCTGGTTAGCAGTCAAGTGCCTTAGGCACTACGCTACCAGAGCTCCCTGTTAGCAGAAGTAGTCAGATTAAAAAAAAAAAAATCTTATAGCACCTTGCCTATGTGTTTCTAGGGACTAGCTAGAGAACCTGTCAGCTGATATGAAAATATGCCTTTGAAGTTTCTGTATGCTTTAGTACCAAAAGATATACTATTCAGAGATGGAATTTTAATAGTCAAGCAACTGTACATACCAGTCTTGACCTTTTTATCTAGATGTGAGTCATCTTCCTTCTTTTGCTACTTCTTTTGGATATTGTACTTCCAGATTACACTTATATCAATTAAAATTTAGAAAACAGAATCAAGGTCAAAAGAAATCCATTCTGATTAATCTTGAATCTTGAGTCATATATCAATAGACTAGGCCACTCCTCAGAAGAAAGATAGGGCTATCTACTTCCTTAGTGATACTGCCTCGGAAACCCAAGGAGGGGTCGCTATGAGTCAGGTCCAACTCGACGGTATATAACAACAACACAACAGGTGCTACAGAGCTTTTCAATTACCAAAACATCTGGACAATTGTTGTTGTTAGGTGCCATCGACTAAGCTTCCACTCACAAAGACCCTGTGTACAAGAGTGAAACACTGCCTGGTCCTGCAGCACCCCCGTAATCCTTGCTGTGCTTGAGTCCATTTTTGCAAGCACTGTGTCAATCCATCTCATTGAAGGTCTTTCCCTTTTTCACTGACCCTCTCTCCTTACTTTCAAATATTATATATACACTTCTCCAGAAACAGACAACATGACCAAAGCAGGTGAGCTGAAGTCTGGACATTCTCACTTCTAAGGAGCATTTCTTCCAGGACAGATTTGTTTGTTCTTCTGGCAGTCCATGGTATTTTCAGTATTCTTCACCAACACCACAATTCAAAGCCATCAACAGTTCAACCTTCCTTATTTGTTGTTCAGCTTTCACATGCCTAGAAAGCTATTGAAAGTACCATGACTTGGGTCAGGCACACCTTTGTCTCTAAAGTGACATCTTTGCTCTTCAACACTTTAAAGAGGTCTTTTGGAGCAGATTTGCCCAGTGCAATATGATGTCTGACTTCTTAATTGCTGTTTCCATGCGTGTGGAACATGGATCCAAGTAAAATGAAATCCCTGACACTTTCAATCTTTTCTCCATTTATTGTGATGTTCCTTCTTGGTCCCGTGGTGAGCTTTTTTGTTTTCTTTATGTTGAGGTATAATGTGTACTGCAGACTGTAGCTTTTGATCTTCATCAGTAAGTGCTTCAGGTCATCTTCACTTCTAGCAAGCAAGGTAGGGTCATCTTCATATTGCACGTTGTTAATGAGTCTTCCTCCAATCCTGATGCCACATTCTTCTTCATATAGTTTAGCCTCTCAGATTATTTCCTCAGCATACAGAGTGAATAGGTATAGTGAAAGGACACAACCCTGATGCATACCCTTCCTGATTTAAAATTTTGCATTATCCTCTTGTTCTGTTTGAATGGGCAGCCTCTTGGCTTTATATACTGGTTCCTCATGAGCACAATTAAGTGTTCTGGAAATCCCATTTTTTGCAATATTATCTCAACATGTAGTCTCCACCACTCGTCTGTCTGTCTGTCATACTGTGGTGGCTTGCATGTTGCTGTGAGGCTGGAGGCTATTCCACTGGTATTTCCAATAGCAGCAGGGCTACCCATCGTGGTTAGGTTTCAGCACCACTTCCAGACAAAGCCAAGACTGGGAAGAAGGATGGAGCCATCCACTTCTGAAAATATTGGCCAGTGAAAACCTTATGAATAGCAGTGAAACACAGTCTGATATATTACTCTGGACTACTAAGGACATTAAAAACAAAAAGAAAATGTAGCAAATTCAGAAAATGAAGAGTTAAATAAAAAGGATTTAAAAAAATCACTACCTGCAGATTTTAAAGAAATCTTAACAAATGTGATATCTTAATTCCAATAATGTGTATGGACTGTAGGCAGTCCCTAGGTTAAAAACAAGATCCATTCCTGTGTCTTTTCTTTTTGTTTATCTTTTTTATTCAAAATTTGTTTATTTTCTTGTTATTGGGAATATACACAGCAAAACACACCATTTCAACAGTTTTTAGATGTCAAATTCAGTTACATTAATTACATTCTTTGAGTTGTGCAATGATTCTTGCCATCCTTTTTTGAGTTGTTCCTCTCCTATTAACATCAACTCAGTACCTCCTAAATTTCCTACCTAATCTTTCAAGTTGCTGTTCTAAGTTTGTCTTTAAGTTGAATTTGTAAATAAGTAGGAACAGTTGTATACGTTCTTATTTAGCCTTACTTTAGCACAATAAAAAGCTCAAAGCCTTTTCAATGATTTAAAAGCTGCACATTGAGCAAGGGAAGGTGATTACAATGAATAATTTGTTGTGAGTAAAGATTGGTTCCATCATTTCAAAGTGAGGGCAAATTTACGTAACATTAAAGGGCAAGTACAAGTTGTCTATAAGTCAGATGTTCACAACCTAGGACTAGCTGTATAAACAATTACATTTCTACTGTTCAGTAATTAAAGGACATTATTTTCTGTGCAGTGCAGAATTTACACTAATTTGACCCAACTTCAGTATCTTACATTTACAGAGTACTTCATTAATAGTTTAAATGGAAAATTAAATAAATACTGAACTTATACCTGGTTATCTACACTTAGACATAAATCTCATCATATTCCCTACTTGTATTATATAACATGTTAGTTACCTCAAATTTTCCCCACGAAGACTATCATTTTTCTTCATCTTTTGGCATATCTAACGTCTTCAGTGAATCCTGTTAGAAGCCTTAGGAATGATTTCTTTTCCATTTGTCCCAATTGCCAAATGAGTACAAAATCTCCTTTTACTTTATAGCATTAGATTTCTCAACATGTATCCAAAAGCACTACTGGGTGACAGTGCATGGGAAGAAGTCATCCAAAGCAGACTCCCAGATTTGAAAACGGG